GCACGTCATGCGGCCTTTTAACCGTTTTCATACCAGCGGAGTGTTTCCCGTGGGTTCTAGAACGATCGATAAGACTCTCATGTCGCGATTGGTCTAGAGAAATCTATAGCTAGTGGTTGTCAACATCATAAGCATAACAAAATGTGACATAATTTCAATGAAAATCATTCATTTATGTAAAAGTACATATGATATTTTGTGAAAAATTTTACGTTATGCAGAAAAATGGATATAATTTTCGGATTCAGCGTATAGATATTACTGTTGAACATATAAAATTTTCAAGACAATAAAACCATCGCAGGCCCGTGTAATTATTTTATGAAAACGCCACGAATTCATTTCATAAATGATCCTAATTCTGATTGGTTCACAAAGGAATTTACCGAAATCTGACTGACTCGACTGCGCTTGCCTCTTTGTTGGTCAAGCTTGATTTCGCAAAATTTATTTATTTCAGTTAGCTATGGAATGCGAGTTTAGGGTTTCCTATGGGAAGGGGGTGATAGTACTTGCCCCGCCATTTTTGACAGGCTATACGCTAGTTTGTTTCTTTAATAAAAATTAAAGAACGATTGAGAAATAAGTCCTTACATTATCTTTGTTAGCAAGAATATATGAAACTAATTCATGACGAAAGTTAGCTTTTCCCGTTGTGCACTTTGTGTGCGTCGATGTGCTATACGGATTACAGAAAAATCCCGCTGTTCGATCAAATAAGACTAACTAAGAGTTTGCTGTGAGTGCTTTGCTCACATAGTTGTTTATGTAGCTTTGCTCGAAAATTCTAGAACAGAACCACTAAATGAGGACATAAACTTAGACAATTAAAAACTTAATTTACCACAGTGTTTTATATGGTTATGGAATTAATAAACTTTATGAACAGATTAAAAGCACAAACAATCAACTCGACTTAAACATAATACTAAGATATTGAAATGGATGTGAGAAATGCTCAAAGAACTGACTAATTTTAATTCAAACAGCTCAATATTGTCGAGGTTTTAAATGAAATTTCCATATACGAACATTAAAGAACACGGGCATTATTAAGTTTTAGTTTATGAAAAAGGCAAAAACTAATTGACTAATTGTTTTTTTATTCTAACCAAAATATCAGTATTCTGAAAAATAAATCATATTAATCTGTTTTATACTTTAAAGTCATGTAATATAGCATGACTATTGGTTAGTTTCATACCAATATTAGTATATTTAACCGTTATGATATAGTAACAAATTAGTTGTGTTCGGAACATGTTGTATTACTATAATAATTAATTTGCAATTGAAATGTCAGTGCTCAGTTGTTATGGCATATTCTTAAATAAATTACGACGAGAATATTAGTGTAACTGTATGTTTGAGAGCAAAGGCACAGGAGGCTAAATGCTGTGTCCACAGCGGGGAATCGAAATCGAGATTTTAGCGTTGTAAACAAGTAGATTTACCGCTGTCCCATTGAGGAACATTATTATAACTATATGTTATGATATAATTACATCTACGTTGCAGCCAGAATAACTATGTATCTTTACTGTTTAATTAAGGATACTGGTATTATAACTTAATTAATTAACCCTACCATTAGGGGTTGGGTGGGATACACCCACCTCGTAAACATGAAAGTAATCATAGTATGATTTTTGTAGATTATCAGTAAACATGGCTTTCCTATGCAAAATATCAGATTCTTTTATTAAGTTTAAGATTTCTTAAGTGATGGTTTTTCGTGCTTTTAGTTTTCTTTTCGAATGTTGATTATCCAATATGCAAAATTAATTTTGATTTTAAGATTAAAAACACTTTTATGCATCAGAAAATTTTCAAATTTCACATGCGAAATCTTTATAACCTTTAGATAATTATCAAATGTTATTTTGAGAAAAAATTTTATATTTTCATCTGTTATTTTCAATACTGTATCTATGTACCGGTTGGTTCTATTTGACCGAACTCGTAACAATCATAAAAAATTAGGAAATAACTATAAATTATGTTTTTTCCGTTCTAGGATGAGTAAAAATTATAACACAAAAGTTTAGTCTAAATAGCTTAAATCTCATAACATTATACATATATATAGATGTATTATTTTTATTATACTGACCTTTCAGCCGTTGCAATGACGCGGCGCACTTGCACTCATGTTACAGTATCTAAGAATATAAAACTGGCCTTTACAAAGTGACCTGTCTCGGCCGTGTTTTAGTGGACTAGTATTTTGTAAAATATAGTCACATTTCAATTATAATACATTATATATGTATAAACATTATAACTATTTACAAATAAGTTCTTAATCTTATTTTTCTTAAAACATAGAACAGTAAATAAAGTAGTATAGTAAACAATTACCTCTTATAGTTACGAACTTTGTACTCGTTTGCAGCTTGCTAGGTTGCCAAGCCTTATCAAATTTCGCACGTGGGGGATGTAAAACGAAATAATTTAGTTTTTAGGTTTTATATGTACATTTTGAAATAACCAAAGATCACAAATTACTATATCAATACCATAGAATTCCATTATAATTTATGAAACTTAGTAACTAAGCTGTATTTGGGTCTAAAAATATATAAAAAATTTTGAGCTTACTAAAGTTTTACCTTACCGTTTAGATTCTGGCATAAGAAGAAACAGTTTGCCCGCCCGAATATTTCACATTGGCTGAGAAAGCCACTAGGGGACTTTCTGAGCTTTCGTTTGGTTATTCATACTTCATAAAAAAAGTAGGTAACATAAGCAGGTGTTTCCAAAAATGGAAAGAGATGGGCGGAGTACTGTGTTTGATTCAGTAAATGTAGCGATATCTCAACAAATAGAACCATGGAGGTTCTTGCTTTAAATTCTAGTTCGTCAATATCGGTAACTTGAGTTTCTAATTCGTAAGAAAATATACACTTTGTATTTGGACATCACAAACATTTAATTTGAACCGATGCTGCATTCAACATACCACGTGACACTCAAAAATCGATATTTAGTATCTATTTTTTAATGTTTACTTTTAAATTGTGAAATTAACTGCTGGATAATACTAAAACTTGAATTATAATCTACAATTTGATACGAAGGCTATAGACATACATTCATAAAATAGTAGTTCAATAAACTTTTTGAATGCGAGTTAACAAACGCGATGACATGGCCTTTGACCCGTGACCCGGAACGATAGGAATGAATTCAAAATAGGTGGCCAAACTGGTAGCTACACTTATAGAATTGATAATAATTTTACAGAAAAATTCATTCATTAGTTATCTAGGCCACGATTTTTGTTCAACTTTGGGCATGGTGGTGGGTAAAACAAAATACGCGGCCTATCTAACTAATGAATGGATATTTGCTGTAAAATTTTTATCAATGCCATAAATGTAGCTACCAGTTGGCTGCCAATTTTGATTTCAATAAGTAGCATGCTCAATTTTTTTTTAGCCGCACCTTGTATATACACATAAGGTGCTTTTGATTAGATGTCATGCCTTTTTGTCAATACACACCAACAAACTACAGCAAGTAAGAAAGTGACACTTAATGGTAACCAATATTAGCTTTAGGATCGCCACACTATTATTCGGAACAGACCTTTACTTTACAGAACCAACCAGATTCTTTAAAATATATGGTGGTAGTTTTCTCTCTAAAACAGTGTTAATAACTTCTTTTATAGTAACGCTACAGAAATTAAATTAACATTTCTCATCATCACCTGCATGCACTCGATACAGCCGTGCCAAGCATCATTATTTACAATAATTGCTTAAGCTAATACCACCTAACTTTGAGCGCTCTTTAATTAGGATATTTTCATAAAATTTAGCAAATTTGTGCTTAAACATTGGCAATGAGTAATGAATAATAACCGTTCACCCGTATTTTTTTTTTGAAAACTTGAGCTAGAAACTGTAAATCCAGTTTGCTTGGCTTAACCGACACTTGTGTATCTGCACTTCCTTTCACCCTATAGGTTTGCTGCTCTACATCAGCCGTCTTTCATTTGAATGCCAAAAAAACTAAAAAAGTTCATGTTACTCTTAGATGAAGCTATGGTAAAAATTTTAAACCAATACCTCACGTGACTTTTTGCGGACACAAAACCTTTCTTCAAATTTTAGCGTTTTTTGCTGAATAACTTTGCACATATGGCTTATATTTAGACCATATTTGTTATCTAATCCTAATGGTAGGTTTTAAAGATCTATCGGTGTACCAAATTTGTAAAAAAAAAAAAAGAATCCATAAAAGCTAAGTATGTTTTTTTATCAAATATAGTTTCGGTACTGTCGGAGCAAAGAAAAAAGTAAAACATTCAATCAAAATTGGCGATTTTATATCTCATGTATTTTTTAATGGATTGCCTTGAAATTTGGTATGCGAAGTAAGGGTCCAGTTGAGCATATCCACTGAAAAATGTGATAGCTTAGATTACCAAAAGTGGAAATCGCTAAACTATCACTCCTGTTAATATTTACGCTAATTGCTTAAAATAATATCACCTAACTTTGAACTCTCTCTAATTAGGAGAATTTCATACAATTTAGCAAATTTGTGCTTAAACGTTGGCAATGAGTAATGTTAATAGCACAAAGTGTATCCTGTAGGTTGTTTACGCCGCACGACCCCCTACAGTGTGTCTTGATACTTGCATTGCATGTCAGCATTTTTTCCAGTTTTCTTTCATTACCATTATATCTTGTTAATTGAAAATTACTGACATTTTTTGATGACTAAGTACAGAAAAACGAAGATATATATTAATGGAAAAAAGGTGTAATCTATCTATTAATATTAGCATTCACTTCTGATCAAAGCAAGCTACCTGCAATCCTGCATAGATCAAAACTACAAATATACACAGTAATGAACATAGCTAATTGAATATACCAAATGTATAACGATGTATTCAAATATTCCTTTGTCTTAGTTCTTTTTCCTCAAATGGTCTCTCTTTTAAATTTTGATAATACTAAGTGCAATGTTTGATTATATTTCAGACGCACCTATCTGTGAACCAAACCAAGAATATATTTATAGAACAGGACTTGACGAACCAGTTCCAGTTACTTGTAAACTAAGAAGTGACCCTCCTGATGTTTTATATAGTTGGTCGTTTAACAACAGTTATGATAATTATGAAGTATTCACCTTTACTTCAAAAGGAACTACGAGTGTTGCAACGTATACACCCAAGTCAAAATATGAATTTGGAACTTTAGTCTGTATTGGCACAAATAGTGTGGGTATGCAACAAAGTCCGTGCACATTTGAGATCATACCAGCAGGTATGTTACATTTTTCTTTCGGAATGAGTTAGAGTTCACGTGTCAGTAAAATGTAGCTTATTTTATTTTTCCTACATAATAAGGCACAACCATTTGTTGTATTATATTAATATCTTACAGAAGACCAGGTCGGAGTTAAACGTTAGCATCTCACTTTGGCTTCTGAAAAAAAGTAGTATGAAATTGTATTAGGAAGATCTAACTTATAGCACGAACAAGTGACGGGTGGTAGGGAAGAGTCCACTAGGTATAAGAGCAGTAACCCCACTAACAAAGTTATTTAAATTTGTTTTTCAAACATATCATTGTTATTTCGTAATTACTGAAGTACTTAAAACATCTTGATATTGTGTAATATAATTCGTGTTTTCATGCGAAGTTGTGAGGTCATGACGCTTATTAAGTCCCAACCCGGTTTAACATTAAAAATTATGCTGTCACAGAAACCTTATAATTGGCTTGGTTCTCTAACTCGTTACAATAAACATTACTAAGCTATCTTTGAGATAGCTTACATTGCAATTACTTTTATGATTTAGTGTATACGTAATTTAATATCATGGTGTTCTTAACTTTCTTAATGAAATTTAATGTAAAATGTTTTTTTTTTGTTTCCCTACATAATCTTTCAATTTTATCTTACTATTCAGATCTATATACGTAATAAAATAGTTCACACTGAAAATTGTGGAAGTGTGTTAGTTGATAGTAAAGTGAAAAAATTATCAGTACACAGTAGACAAGTAAATTCTGCCATGACATCTGTGAAGCATACGACTATAACACTGTTCTTTTTTGGGAACGATCATTTGAAAGTAAAGAAGCAAATAGCGTAGCATAATAAATTAATGAATAACATATAAATCATAAGTATAGCCCTAACCAGAATATGAATTATACCTTATGTGGGCGTACTAATATTACTACGAAATTAGGTAGAAATTAAGTAGTGCACTATTTTTCTTATAGACAACATATTTACCGCAAAAATGTGCTATATAACATAAGCCAGGCTACTTTGTCGTTTTTTTATTTATACAATTGCCTAAATCGACTACTTCATTTTTGTCTCTATTTATGAAAAACACAGACATTTTCCCTTTTTTTGGTAGAAGGGTTTGGGAAAACGATCGGATAAAGTATTACAGCCACTGAACAAATAACACAGAGTTACGCACAGGAGTATCTAAGTAATGGAGTTTTGCAGTTTCTAGAGGAAGTCATTAGTATTGGCCAAGTGTGTTGGAATATTAATGAATGGGATTTGTCCGCTGCCAAGGGTAATTTCTTTACGTTTTCAAAAGTACTAGCAATTTACTACTGCAGACTAAAGTTGTTGTTTTCTGGTTAAATACCAGGATTTCCCTTTAAAAAACAAAGAGTATTTTTACCTATAAACCTAAGAAAACTCTACTTGAATATAAATATTACGGTTTTCCGCTGTCTGGTTTCCAATGTTTTCTCATTTAGTTTACTAATCTTTTTTATTTACATTTTATGCTAATTTATGATGTTTTATGTTCATTCTACGTTACTCTACTGTACGAATGCCTTTTATGTTTTCTGTGTATAGCATAATGTTTAATGTGATGGCCAATAGGATTAGTTTGTTCATTACTTTGCGATATTTTCCATTTAGTTATCGACACAGTATATCTTTTTTAAACGACTACTCTGTGCATGTCTCTTTCCAGCTGTATTAATATTAAAGTAATATTTTATCACAAAACACTTGAAAATTTCACTGTCGTATTTCATGTCATGCATTAAGTGTAATGGAGCTTTTAAATCATTTATAGTAATGTAGTTGTAATTATAGGTGCTGCATGGCCTAAAGGCTGGTACTTGAATTCGTAGTCGAAGGGTTGTAGGTTCCAGGCTGCTAGGGACATCTTGTGCTCTAGAAGAACGCACTTTAGCCAATATTACTTCATTTGACCCATCTTTATAACGGTTACCAGCAGGTAGTAGGGAGTTAGTCTGCAATGAGTTGGTGTCCCATCTAGGTGGAGTGGGTTACAATTACTACCCACTACCACAGAATATCAAAGATAAGCACCGATTTTATGTTTGTTTGTTTGTTTAGAATTAAGCACAATGGGCTATCTGTGCTCTGCCTAGCACGGGCATCAAAACCCGGTTTATAGCGTTGTAAGTCCGCAGACATACCGCTGTGCCACTGGGGGGGGGCTGATTTTATGTTTCATGTGAAGACACAACAAGGATTTTACTTGCTTGATGATAATAAAAAGTATATTTACATTTATGGTTTTCAGTATTTGCTGTACTTTTGCTGTAATAAAAATAGAAAAGTGAGTGAAATATAAAATTTAAATGTTAAAATTTTACTAAAGGTAAGATTATATGATTTTTTAAACAAAAATTAATTATATACACTATCCTACCAAACGTCATGGGATACGGGTAGTTATGAATAAAACATGTCTTTATTCCAAGAAATTATCAGTGCGTCGGCCCGGCATTGGATTTAATGGCTGCTTCATTGCGTCGTGGAAGACTTTCTACTAATCTCTGGTAGAAAGCTGATGGTACTGTGCTCCACCCCTCCTTTAAAGCATTAGTAACATCCATTACTAAAGAGGGCCATCTTGGCCTTGTCCTAATTCTGCGTTCCAGTTAATTCCAAATATGTTCTATGGGGCTCTGTACTGGCCACAGCAATGTTCCCATGTTATTATCTTCAAACCACTCGTTCACAATCCTTGCTTTATGACATGAAGCGTTATCATATTGGAAGGTGTAAGGGCTGGTACCACAAAATTGCCACAATGTAGGACACACAGAATTATTCAGAACACCAATGTAGGACTTAATATTCGTGTATTCATGCACTGCGGCCAGAGAAGCACCTCCAAACTTCACTGTTGGGACAATACACTCAGATAATAAGAGTTCTCCAGGCAGCTTCCATACCCAAACACATCCATCAGACTGAGAGAGCGTGTAGCGTGAATCATCGCTCCACAAGACCTATTTCCATTGATCCACGGTCCAGGTTTGTGTGCCTTGCCCCATGCCAATCGACGGTTTGCATTTGTTTTTGTTATCAACGGCTTGTGGGCTGCAGCTCTTCCGTAAACATTTATGGCATGCAGCTCTGGAAATACTTATATAATTGCGTGTGTTTTCTCGCATCTCCAAACACAGAATCTTCAGTTTCTGATGGCGAGATGGTAAGCAGACTTCTTAAGGTGCGTCGGCTCCTGTCAGTCAATATTTTACGCCTACCTGGTCGTTTGTTGGGCTAATTCTCATTGTTTGTTTTGAATACCTTCGCTAGCCGTCCCTACGTTAGCAGTGTAAGACTAAAGAAAAGGCAGCTAGTCACCACCACCCACCGCCAACTCTTGTGCTACTCTTTTACCAACAAATAGTGGGATTGACCGTCACTTATAATGCCCCCACGGCTTAAAGCTCATTCTCACCTGTGGACTTCCATTTCTTCAGCAAATTGCAAATTGTCGACCTGGGAATGTTTAATTGTTGCGCAATACTGTGTATAGAAATTTTCCCCAAATGACATCCAACTATCCTTCTATGAAACTGTTAGCTCGTTCGGCGTACAAGTTTGAACCGCTGATCGCCTTTATAGGCCAAACTATCTGAATATTTCCTCATCACATACATTTTCCTGCAATAATAGGTGTGTCCCATGACTTTTGGTAGGATTGTGTATATATATTATATATATATATATATATAATTTCATAAAAAAGAAAACAAATTAAGTTGAAGCAATGTAACACTAACTCATTGCCCCGCAGTGGCACAGCGGCAGGTCTGCGGACTTACAAAGCTAGAAACCGGGTTGCAATACTCGTGGTGAACATAGCACAGATAGCCCATTGGACAGCTTTATGCTTAACTTGAAACAAGCAAAGAAAATCTAACTCATTTAACTTTATTTCAGTCCCTTAAGTGATTTCAGTTGCTCATCCGTAGAGATATTTATTGCACATTCTTTTAAACGTTTTCAAAAGTAAACAATGATCAAATAAGTTGTAATAATAAGTCACTCAAAAGAAGATTTCGCTTATCATCGCAGTATTTTACTTTCGAGTAAAATAAATCCTAGAAGGAAGAGTGATAACTAAAATAAAAGCAACTTTCGCAGGTATGAGAAGATAATAAACTTCAGACAACGTTATTATTTTAACATTATACACAAGTACCAAGAAAAGAATATCTGTTAAAGATATTGTAAACTAAAAGCACCGAATACTGCAAAAATAGTCAAACTCATTATATTGTGCAATTAAACAATTTAATAACACATTTGTTTAAAAAGTGGTCTCCTTAATTAAAAAGAACTATGAAATAAATTGTCATATGGATGAAATTCATATTTTGACATTGTAGTGGTTCATCTTTGTTTTGAACAGGAATTCCTGAACCAGTTCGCAACTGTTCTTTTATAAATCAAACTGATGACGGGATAGGACTGGAATGTATAGAAGGCTACGATGGAGGCCTGAAACAGCAGTTTTATGTTGAGGTTCAAGAAGCTCTTAACGGCAGATTGATTTTAAATATTTCATCACAAAGTCCTTGGTTTTCTATAAAAAATCTTCCATCTGGATCAAGTTTCACGTTTAAGATATATTCGTTTAACACGCAAGGTAAAAGCGAGCCTGTAGTTTTCCAAGGAAAGACTTTACAAGCTCTGGGAAGCCGTGCTAATCAAGGTAAATTTTTGAGCCAAAATAATAATGTTCACTCAAAATGTACAATAAAATCAGTGACGGTAAAACAATATACTACAGAAGCTATAATTGAAAACGTGTGTATAGTTAACCATGACTCTACATCTTTGTACTTTGTTTGTTTGTTTCTTCAACACTATGTGAAAAAACAACGTTTTACCTTGTGTTTAAATTTCCCGACTTTGTACCGTAGTTTATTTTCTCAGTTACATCATATAAGAAAAAAAAAAGACAAAAATTTCGTCTTCCTATCGCCTCTGGCATAGGATTTGATGAAACATTATCTGAAATAAGCAATAACTCATAACTTAATATATTTGAATGGTTAGTATTGTTTAAAGTGTTGCACTGATAATAAAAATAATAAAGACGTAGAGATTTAACTGCCGATACATTTACAGTAGCAGGAAGTACAATAATTAATCTGCATGTTTGTTGTTTCACAGATTTTCGTTAGTAGTGATATAACTGGAGGTACTTAACAAATACGTGTACTATACTTCCTTAGAACTTGTATGTCTTAATTGTTAACGTTTCGTTGCTGTGATACTTAAAACAATAGCAAATAAATGTGCACATTATGAAATAACTATATCAATAATCAATATATGTATTAATACATCGTGTATTCCTACCTTTTATTAGAAAACAGAACTTATGATTATCTTTGTTTCATGTGAAGCACGAATGGTATCAGCTAACTTCACATGGCCTCACGAATGTATTTTTTCCCCACAGGTACGAAATGGACGATTCCAATCAACGCTATCTTAACAGCACTAGTTTCAATCCTTGCTGTGCTAATAGTCATTGCTGTGTGTGCAGTTTTTATTTTAAAAATAAGGCTTATGAAAAAGAAAGGTAAATCAGGATTTTTCATTTTACAGTAATACCACTGTAATGCAATGAGTATATGTTCCATAAAATAACACACAAGTTATATTACCAAGTGTATTATTACAGCACATTTTCAGAGAACCATTGACATTTAAAAAATGTAACTAACGTGGTAGGTATTTCGTTTTAGAGGAAAAATTCACCGATGTTTCCCAACAATGGTGTAAATAAATAAATACTTTTTCTCGCGTTGCTGACGTTTTTGATCACTACTGTTACTATAGTTACACAATAATAAACTACCAATAATAGTTATTACCAACTTTTATAATTAAAGACAAATGTATTTAATTATTTAAATATGACAATAACTAAAACTCTAGATCTAATGAAACTCAACTACAAATCGGTTCGTTCTGTCACGACAAAATTACATAAAATTAGGTTTACTAATACTAAATAATAGTTCATGAATAAAAATTAAGGTCAACTTTCACAAACGTTGGGGGTCTTTCTTCCCCTCGACTTCTTTACTCGATAACTGTCCATACCAGGCGCGGATTTAGATATCAAAATATTCCTTCTGCCTGGCACTGAACGTAAATGTCTTCACTTCACGGTGACCTTTTTTATAGTCCAGCTCTCAGGATTTGACTTGCAATCTTTTTGGACAACAACTTATTATCCAATATTATAACTTCTTGAAGTTAGCAACACGAAAACATATAGAACGGATTAGGACCCTTGCGTAGACGTTTAACTCAGCAGCAAGTCCACGACAAAATCCAGAGAAATTAAACTTGTACGCACAGGCGGTAATTTTCTCCACTGTCAAACATTACAGGAACTATCTTTAGCAACCGAAACGTTACAAAACGAACCTAAATTCCCCGCAAATCGGCCTTTTTATACTTTTCGAGGAAGTTTGGAAGTCACATGCTGCGTGTAACAGTTGTAATATTTAATGAGATTACGTCACTATGTTACAATAGGGTGAGCCAAATTGTTCTATTTTATTACTCTGTACATGACAATCATTGAAATAAAATATAATTCCCATTACACAAAATATACTATTTAGCGTAATACTACACAGTATTGCATCATGGGTTTCATGAACAAATTTAGTGTGAACGGACTCATTACTAGCTGAGAGAGTGTTATTCTTGAGCTTTATAAAACATAGGGTACGTACTTAGTAGTAATAATATCGTTTGCCCAGTAATTATTTCTCAACAGTAAAGGTAGGGTTATTTAACATTATTGTATAATTGAAAATAAATATATTTTATATAACTTCATATTCTACATATGGTTAGAGTGAACTTCTTTCTAAAACGTGGAGTAACTCATAAAGAAAGTGCTGTAGGAATTAAAAAGGTAAATTTATGTGTGTGGATATATATACAGTAAGTAAAATGAGCCTGCATACGTATATATATGTGTGTGTGTGAAGGTTCATGCAATATAATTACAAGGCAAGCGATATAGAAATAATTTTATTATATTTTATAATAAAATATTTATATATTGTTAAGAAATTTAAAATTAATAATTACACATTAATTTAATATTATTTTCAGATGAAAGAGAAACACGAAACAACAAAATGTAAGTACATTTATTACTCTTTAGAATAAATAAATTAATAATAATAAGAAATAGCATATTATTTGCACTGATATACTTTCTCTTAATATCACCAGGATAAGTTATTGATTTCATACTCTAAATTTGTAACATTATTATGTATTTTGAATATGATTCTTCAACCTTCGAAAACTGGTTTTCTCATGGAATGCATTTTGATTAAAATTAAAAGTACACCTAAGCTTTCTTTGTTTGTTTTTGTTTAAGCGCAAAGCAACAAAATGGACTATCTGTGCTGCTCCTTTCCCCCAAATGGCACAGCGGAATGGCTGCGGATTTACAACGCCAGAAACCGGTTTTCGATACCTGTGGTGGGCAGAGCACAGATATACCATTGTGGAGTTTTGTGCTTAATTTCAAACAAACAAGCGCTGCTCCCAACATAAGTATGGAGTTCCGATTTTAGGCGTATGAGCCCTCAAGTTTACCGTTGAACTAACGAATGACGTATACCTTAGAAAACAAATGAGTGTGTTTGTTATATCATTTTATATGCTCTGCTTGTGACATATTAATATTAACATTCATATTTTACAGAAAGAAGAGGTTAATATGTGAAAATATAACTTTTAACTAGCGAATTAATTAATTAATTGGTTTTACATACTAAGTCATCCGATTTATTCTTTTGCGAAAATAATACAATAACAACATTAACGGATAGATTCAATGGCTTTTCTTGGATCCATATTTCATTATTGAACTTTTAGTTAAGCTTAGGAAGAGAAAGCTGCGACAGCACAAAAAATCTCAATTTTGAGGACCTTTCTCCAAATCTGAACTTCTTCATGCATGACATTGTGATATTTTTAAGCAGTGTTGATATTGTTTGGTTTACATTCAACTCTGGATACACTTTGTGTATACACAAGCGGAGCATCGGAAGAAATCTTGTGGATATACAAGATGCATCTTGAGTTGAATGTATACCATTGGCCGCACTTCCAAAGATATTGAAATCGTTGGTTGTAATTCTAATGTCACAATCTTGCAGACATTAACGAAGAATGGCTGACTGATTATATAGTGTATTTTGCGCAGTATAATCACTCGGCTATTCCTTGTTGCTGTTTGCCAAACTGTGACATTAAAATTACAACCAACGATTTGAGCATCTTGGGAAGTGCGGCCAATGAAAAGATAAATATTACATAATAAATTTAGAATTTGGTACTTATTACAATTTTGTAAAACACAGAAGAAGCCTAAACATTATAAAGAAAAATAGGAAGGATTTAATACTATCTTAATTTCTGCTAATAAATTCAAAGACTCGCTACTGAAAGAATGACCTAACTGATCTTACAGATCACTTTTTCCTAAGTTAGTATTTCCAAGCTTTTCGCATTCACTGATGCGAGAAGGCAACAGCTATGCTTAATATTACCAGCCTCTCACACCGTATAGTAACATTGAATAGTGACGCTCTTTTACGTGTTTAAACAATTTTTCAAGCTCACTCAGCAAATCGCCTAGACGGAGACCAAATCTCCACGAGTGTTCCATATAAGAGCGTGTTTCCAACGAGCAATGTAGGCATGATGCTGCTCCCTCAACTTGAATCGAAAGCAATATTCCACTTACGGACTAAAATTGCGGTTTGTATCTTCCACAATCAAAACTAACAAGCTAGCTAAGTTTTAGTTTTATCTTTTCACAATCAAACCTAACGAGCTAATTAAGTTTTATATTTTCACAATCAAAACTAACGAGCTAATTAAGTCTTATCTTTTCACAATCAAAACTAACAATTTAGCTAAGTCTTAGTTTTACCTTTTCACAGTCAAAACTAACGAGCTAGCTAAGTCTTAGTTTCATCTTTTCACAATCAAAGCTAACAAGCTAGTTAAGTCTTAGTTTTATCTTTTCACAATCAAAACTAACAAGCTAGCTAAGTCTTAGTTTGTATTAGAAAGTTGTCAAACCTTAATTCAAGAGAAATACTCATATTTCAGAATGTTTACATTACATTGATTTATTTAAAGATATATTCATATAAGACCAGAAACTCATTAGCTAATATACGCTAATACTATAGTATAGACGTACTTTTTATCTTGTCATTAAAGGCCTAACAGTGCTAAATACCTTCTTATTCTATAAGTATTATTCATTTTAAAACATAATAACTGGTTACTCACCTAACAGTTCTACTTCATAATTCGGAGTTTCTCATTGTCTATACAAGTGCGTTTGAAACAGCGAGATGCCTCATCCAGAAGTTAGCACATCTAAACTGTAAATCCAAGGGTTCGCAGTTCGTGTTCCGTTGTTGTAACATCGCGCTCTGCTATTTGGGGTTGTGGGTGCTCTGTAATAGTGACGGTCAAACCTCACTATGTAGTTAGATAAGAGTAATCCAAGAGCTGGTGGTAGATACTGTTAACGATTGTCTTTATCAATTCAAAATTAGGGTTGGCTATGTGCAGCTGTCCCCTGCGTATAGCTTTGCGCGAAAGTTCTAAAAAGAAAAAATAACATTCAAATAATAAAATGCCACTAATTGCCTTAAATTTGGTGTTATATTTTCCTGGACGCAGTTTTAATGACGAATGTCTACTCTGAATATATAAAAGTCTAAAGTACTCGCTTTCTGTTTATTCGGGAAAACGAGCGTGCGAATTTAATATCACAAGTAATTTACTCTTTCTGTTACCTAATACTACATAATCGTGAAATCTGCGTGTTTTAAAATATAACAAAGGAATATCAGTGGCTATCTGTAACATATGTAGCCCTACACTGTATCTATCACAAGAAAAAGCCATACTTAAGATATATAATGGTGTCGGCAACAAAGATGGAATCTAACTGAACATCAACACTATTTTTTTTTCCAAATTACTATCTTAAAAATAAATCGTTCATTGTATCTCTCTAAGAAGTACCATAAATGTAACATATTTATGCATTGTACACAAAATAACACAACAACAACAACATATTTTGGTGAGAAATGTCATCATAGAACTTAAAATTAACGAGATTTGTTAAGAGGAGCATTCTGTTCTACGAAGCTAGATTTTTTTTTTTCTAAAAAATGAAAATTGAGATTAGAAGAGAACTAAACCCGCAACTCTCTTCGCTAAACAAATTAAGCCGCCACTTCTCTATTCACTTAACTTTCAGTTCATTTTACTTTATGGAACTTGGCAAAAACTCTTGAAGGATACAAAGTACTTAAAGCCAAAGGTGCAAGGATGTTCATTTGAGACATTATTAATTCTTAATAGCAAACCACTTCAGTAGGCTTGCGCTCTTGACTTTAAAATCTTCAAACAAACCGAAGATGTGATGCTAGGAGTATGAGATTAAAAACGCATTTGCCGTAGCTCAAAATTCATGATAAATTTCTTCAAGTTAGTTAGTTTATAGCTAGTAAATTCTCGGGTTCGAATGTTTCTCTTCTGAATTTTTACTTCTTCAAAAATTATTCAAATAAATTAGCCCTGATGTATTGTTTTATCAATATATAGTTTTATGAAAACACAGTCACCACAATATTTTTAGATTCCCCCAAGTTTTAATGCTCACAATTAGTTATTACAAAACTAGTTAGGTTTGTGCTAGCATGGAAGAAATGTAACACATTTAACCTCGAATTACAACTCAAGTGAAAACGAATTATAATTAAAGAGATAATCTGCCCTATGAACCTCAAAATCGGGTAAACAAACTGCATTGAATAGAACAAAACATATATTAAATATATTTTACAATATAACACCTGCAAACAGTGTTCTCCAGACACAAACGTCTGTGATTACACAAATAATTAATGTTGTCACTTATATTTGAAACTATTAGACATGACAATTTTATTTGGTTTATGTCATTTTCTAGGTTTTGGCAGAAGTCGTATTTATAAGCAAAACGTAAAAAGTGATTAGACAAAAGATGTGAATAGAATTTGTCGAACAATAATCAAATGTTTGATCTTTTTAAGTTCATATCACAGACTCAACGTGATCTGTATAAATTGAACTGTAAATAATAAATATATACAATAAAAATGTAATTTAAATAATAATTATGATACACATATAGTGCAGTGTGACTGAATAGTCAAATCTCTGTGCTGTAGGCTGGGCTTAGCTTAATGGCTGCAAGTCAAACGATTCAGGGTTCAAAACGTTGTACGCTAGACATGCTTGGCACTTTCAACTGTGGTCGCGTTATTCGGTTCAAAAAATCAATAAAAAAGACGTTTGGCGGCGGGTGCTTTGGGTTGTTTTCCTTCTATTGAATATTCAAAATTAGGAACGGTTATACTTAAAGGGATCTGACCTGGCCGATTAATCTACATGCGTACAACGTTCTATTCAGATTTAAAATTATAATGCCCTATACTTTGAACTGCATCTGAAGTGTGTAAAGATGGCAGTAGGAGGTTGTAACAGTGTATCTTTTCTCTTAATGTTGTTATTTAATATTTTACTTAACAGAAGTTTTGTAAGCAGACAATGGAATATAGAAGAGTAAAACTGCCTCCATTTCCCTGTGATAATCTGTAGAAGTCGTTTCGAAATGCATGTAAAGATTTTACTCAAATCATTGTACTTAAAGTTGTCGATGAACGTATATTAAGAAACAATAAAGAGGCTTTCCTTTTCACGTTTCTTTTCATTTCTTGCATATCACAAGCTTTCGGTAACATTTTCAGCAACCATTTTATGCTGATTCTCTCTACAGACAGGCAGACAGTAAAATAATTAAGAGCATTCAAATTATTAGAACAAATGCAATATATCGACAAATTCCTCGTCAATTACTATTCTGCCAAGAAACGAGATATCTTTAGGTTCAGTCTTTATTTACTACAGACCCAGTACTAGAATTGTCATTACGTTACTAAAGAACTGTTTTTAGAAGAGGTTGACAACAATGTAGTAATATAATGCACAGATCACGCACAGAAATAGCAGTAATACACCTACTATGCGAGAAAATACCACGAACGA